AATATCAGGTCTACTAGCAATCAAGTAGAAAAGTGATCCAATTATCCTTCTATATTTTTTATGATATACTGACTTCCCATTTGGGTCCTTGTCTAACTGAATGGTAGAGCTCATGGGAGTGTTTTTTATCTTAACATTATCCATTTCATATTTTTTTAAGGATATCCTTGATGTATTTATATTGGCTAAGGAAGGTTCCTATATCCCTCTACTTCACATTAAATCTAAAAATAATAATTTAGCTCTCCTATCATACTCATTTCAAACTCTTAACTCATTATTTTTGTAAATTAATCACATATGTTTTTATCTAAAGATCCAAATAATATACTATTGACATAAATTTAAATAATGAATAGATTTTTTTCTACTTTTTTTTATAAATAGGGTGGTATCTACACTATCCTTAACAAAGTCTCTATCTACTAGAAATGTGTTTAGCCTTTCATACCAGGCTCTAGGTGCTTATTTTAGTCTATATAATAACTTTTTTAACTTAATATATGATTAAGAAATTGTGTATTTTTAAAACTTAAGGGTTGTTCAACATACACATCTTCTTTAATCACCTCATTTAAAAAGGCACTCTTAATATCCATTTGATACTATTTAAATCCCCTAAAGTAGGCAAAAGCTAGTAGCACCCTTATATCTTTTAGTCTAGCTACAGGGGCAAAGGTTTCCTCAAAGTTTATTCCTTTAATTTGATTGAACCCCTTAGCTAATAATCTGACCTTATTCCTTACTACTCTACTCTCTAGAGCCATTCATTTTATTTTTTAAACCCCACTTTGTTCCAATAATACTCTTATCCTTAGGTCTTTCAACTAATTCTCATATATTATTTCTAATAAATTGTTTCAATTTTTCTTGCATTGTTAGGATCCATAATTCATTGGCTAGGGCTTAATCTATGTTGGTGGGTTCTATCATAGAGATAATTACAAAATGATTAACCTCCTTCCTAAGTCCATGTTTAGTTCTAACACCTTCAAATGGGTCTCCTAAGATCAGCTTTTTAGGATGACTACATAAGTATCTCTATTCTCTAAGCAGGGGCTCCTAGGGTTCTACTCTATATCCTAGGTCAATGGCTTCTACCCCTTGAATGAATTTTAATTCTTCTTCTTATGGTTTAAATTTAGAGGTCCTATCTAATTCATCAAACACCACATGGGTATACTCTTCTACTACCAAGGTCCTCTTATTGAATATTATATAGGCCTTACTAATAGATTAATAACTTAAGATTCATCAGACTTGGCATCAAATTTTCCTAAGAGTGATTTTTCATTGATTAGGATAAAACATTGACACACAAAAATGTCAAGTGAGAAAGGTTGGGTGTCCAAACCTTAAGGAGCTCATAGGGTATTTTATTTAATTTAAATCTAGCATTCATCCTATTTAAAACATAACAAGCAATATTTATTGCTTCTGCCCAAAATTATCTTGGGAGAGAATATTCAGCTAGCATGGCCCTAGCGGCTTCTACCAAAGTTTTATTTTTTTCTTTCAGCTATTCCATTCTACTTAGAGGTCCTATGGGTAGAGAAGTTATGTTTTATCCCTACTCTTAATAGAAAGATTTAAACCTATCATTTTCAAACTCTCCACCATGATCGCTATGAATGGTTGAGATTTTACATCCTAATTTTCTTTATATACATGTGAAGAAGATTCTAAATTCCTCAAATGATTCACTATTTTTTGCTAGGAATCTAACCCAAGCGAATCTAGAATAGTCATTTATGATTATAAATCCATATGTCTTCCCTCCAAGGCTGGTTATACTAACTGGTCCAAATAGGTCCATATGAAGAATTTCTAGTGGCCTAGAGGTTTTGATGTCTTTGATTGAATTAAATGAAGACCTAACTTGTTTTTCTAGTTGGTTGGCATCATATAAGATCTTTAGTGAAGTCTAACTTATGTATGCCTCTAACTAGATTTTTTAGGATAATGTTCCTAAGGGTCTTCATGCTTACATTACATAGTCTTTTATGCCATAGCTAAGATTCATCAATTACAATCTTCAAATACATGGAATTAGAATGTTCAATACAATTCAAATCAAGCATGAAAATGTTGTTTATCCTTTCCTTCTAAAATTAGATTTCTATTCAAGCTAATCATGCATTTTATAGAAAGAAGCTTTATATCAAAAATCTTATCAAAAAATTGACTAATAATAAGTAAATTATGCTTAAGGTCATCATCTAATAAAATATTTTTAATCATAAAGTTGTTAGAATTTTCAATTATAACTAAGCCAACCAACATTCTAGTGGCATTTTCTCCCAGTGTTACCTAGCCTCCTGACGAGGAACTTTTATTTGGTCTGGTGACCGGATGTAGAGCTACGTTCAACGAGCACTGAGAACGCGCCACGTAGCAGGCACAAAACCGCGGATCCGACTCGGTGAATAGTGGGTATGACGCACGTGTTTTTTTTAAATCCAAATGGTATTGTTAGGTATTGCTCGGTGTTGCTAGGTATTTGTCGATTTTGCTCGGCAATAACGAGAAATACCATTATGTGAAGACAAATACTGAGCAATACCGAGAAAAACTCGATATTACTCGGTATTGCACGGTATTGGTCTTCACAGAGCAGTATTTCTCATTATTGCCAAGCAATACCGAGCAATACTGAGTAATACCTAGCAATACGCGAACATAGCATTCCCGGGTTCCGTTCCGGGTCAAGTCGTCGGGCCGCACGGTAGAGAGTAAGAGCACGTGGCGTGATCTCAGTGGTGACCAAACTTAGAGCTACGTTCGGTCACCGGACCTAATAATTATTCCCTGACCAGGCCTCTAGTGTAATAAACTACTTCAAATAACCTATCATTTGCCTCGAGCATCCATTGCCAAGTTACCACTTACTCTCACTAGATCTTTTATAAGAACACCCTCATCTTGATCTGATTGATCAAGATTATCATTCATCATGAGATATAGGTTTGTTACCTCCTCCTCTACCTCTGGTTCTGATGATTATGAAGCAGAATCGATCCAAAATGCCTTCTATGTCGTGATCTTCTCCTTCCTAAATTTTGTATTCTCCTCACCAGTCTCCTTAATTGGATAAGTCTTCAAGTGGGGGAAGTATATTCAGCGATGTTCAAGTTTCCTGCATTTAAAATATATTGTGTCAGATAATGATTTGAAATGTTCTTTATTTTTACCTTTCTTTGCTCCAATATTGTTGATGGCGCCTTTCCTCTTTAAAAAACTTTTGAACTGGTGGGTCATCAATGCAATGCCATTATCCTCCTCTGCTACAAAAATGTCACTATATGAATCATTCACTTTTAAAGCCATAGTCTTCTCCTTCTTATTATCACCTGCATCATTTAGTATTTGACTCATGCCTTGCTCATAGGCAATGTGTGACCCAATTAAATTATCAAAAGAATAGACATTTAAATCTTTTGATTCAGTAATTGAAGTAATTTTAGCAACATACCCACTAGGCAAACAACATAGGTTTTTATTAATTTTTTTTTAAATTAAACAGTTCTCTACTCAATGCATACAAGGATGTCACTATCTATGTGAACCTGTTATACATTTCTTATATTTACTCACTATGTTTCATAAGAAATAGTTCATAATCATATAACAAAATGTTCAACATAGACTATTTTACTTCACTAATTCCTTCATATGTAATGCATAATCTATATCAGATTTTTTTTTCTCGTAATAAAGGTTGATACTCGTATATAGTCCTTAGATTTTAAAATCACAAAAAAAAAACAATTCAAACACTTAGCATTTAACTTAGAAAATTCTCTATCCTCTTGACCCGATTTAGTATACATAATTTTAGTTTTGACTCCATTGACTACACGTGATGGAAGAGAATAACCACTTTGTATCATATGGCACATCCTAAAATCAATTGATTATAAAAATGTTAATATGCAAATTCTTCAAAAATCAAAAGGACTGTTTTCAAAATAATAGCGGACGAGTTATTAAATAACCCTCAGCAATATTTCAATTACCAAATTGCACCATTACATCTTTGCTTGATGATTTTAAAATCAAAATTTCAAGACCATCTCTAATACTACTTACAAGTCCTATGAGATTATGAGACTACAATGAACTAGCCCGAGAAACATCATGAGAGGGTTGAATTGTAAATTTAAAAAAGTACTTAACAAAAATAATGATATTCTTTTTGGAGAAAATGATTTTAAAACTAATCCAAATAATCTAATTAAAATCATGAGGAAGCAATTGAGAATTTAATATAATTTTTCAATACATCTGAATTATTATTTTTGCAAGCCACGACCTATTCTAATTTTAGTTGATTGTAAATATTAAAATTCATGCAATAAATTCGACTTCCAGATAATAGAAAAATAAAATCATGTGAAAAGAAAAAAGAGACTGAAAAACAATCCCAAACTAACCAGTTTTTTTTATAACTTATACCCTTAAACTGCAAAATCAACTAAATATATTGTAAGCAGAAACTATACGAGCTGAAAAAAGAACAATACTAATATTGAAAAAATATGCACAGAAAATATAGAAGACTAGTGAGGCAACTTATTGGATTCAGAAATATCTTGTGAAAAATTATTTGTACCTTCTAATAAAAAAGACTAACATCTTAATGAGGATTTCTTTGAGTTAAATTAAAGAATCTCAGCAAAACATTTTAAGCTAAATAAGACGAGCTCAATCGAGCTCTAAGTCGCGAGAGCGCACACACAAGGAAAGAAAAAAAAAACTCAAAAAGCAATATACATAGAACTTCAATAGTCTAAGTCCCTTGGGCTTAGTCTAAGGTTTTGTTTGGGATGGCTTTCTTACTGCTTCTTAAAGCAACTTTTTAGTATTAAAAAGCCACTTCAAAAACAATAAAAAAGTCATCCCTAAGTATGCTAACTTGATTAGTCTTAACCCATACAAGTATCGGTCCGTGTACACGACTGGAGATTCTTTTGGGGTTTTCAACAGTTCTAAAACCAATTACATGAATCAGAAGATTAAAGCCATTGAAATAAAGTTAATGAATACTTGCACTACAGCTACAATTGCATGAACAAGATACAAGACATTTTGCTTAATGATACAACAGAGTACAGACCCATTCCAGCACCTGAGTTTGCTTTTCGCCGGCCAACAACCAATCTGATCATAAAATAATTTTTTCTCCGATCCCATTGTTGTTTAATAGGAGGTGCTGATTAATTGAAAATCTGGAAGGAGGCACAAAAACAGTAGCTGACCATTTCACTCCAATGCAGAGATTCATTTGCTATACACTTTAGGTTCGTGAAAGCTCAACGGTCACCTTCCCTCTCCATTTCAACTTAATCCAGTTTAAAAATAATGCCATTCTTAAGTACCAGCAGGATGAAGGAAACTAAGACCGGCCTGCCTTCTCACATGTTCAGGTATCAGCTTGCTTATGAGCTCTGGTGACGCAGCTGCTAACTGCCACAGATAGAACTAGTTAATTTCTTAGATTTAGGCTTTGTTTGGGACGGCTTTCTTTCTGCTTCTTAAAGCGGCTTTTTAGTACAAAAATTTATTTTTTGAACTAAAAACCCACTTTAAGAAGCAGAAAGAAAGCTGTCCTAAACGAAGCCTTAGAAAAAAATTTATTTGATTTCTTCCAAATCAAATAGAACTTCTGGAGCTAGAAGAATGACATATCTAAAAAATTGGGATAGTGAGCCTACATATAAGAACCAGCAATATACCTTGCAAGATTTGCAACTACAGAGAACATAGATACAAATGCATGGTCTAAATTTCAGTACTTTCCCATGCAGCGTCGCCCTTCACAATTCCATTGCTAAACAAAAAATCTAGTGAAATTCTGTAGTGGGTTACACTAGGTGCCATTCATTGGGAATAAGTTTTGGATACTATTAATTTCACTTGAAATGAGCATAGCTACTCCCGGTTAAGTCCTTAGTGCATAACTCCTGTTTTGGAAGTATATGATGACTTCCAGAATCACAGGAAGAGGATAACATTGGCTTTACTTAAATTGACATACTGTAGGAGATGAACAAATTTATATAAACATCTCTATGGTTCATTGATAAGTGTAAATAATGTGTTATTTTATTTGTTATATTTTCAATGAAATGTATTATTTTAGTTATGTTGTGCAGGAAAAATACAAAAAAGGCACAAATTTCTAAGTCTCATATAGCTCCACTGTGTCGGACAAATCGACGACGCAACGCCATCAAAGGTACCATCAGAGCGCCGCAACATTCACATTGTGGCGCGGACTTCTCTGTTGGTCATCGTCGCGGCGTTAAAATGGTTAGCTTTGATGCGCCATGCTCTCTGTCAATGTTTAAAATTGCGTATTCGGGTATTGTGGCGTTTTTCATTCGTGAGGCGAGGTGAAAGGAAAGCCCTTATACATATTCGGCTTCACCGATTCAGATTCAGAAAGGCAGAACCGCGCACAAGAAGTTGTCGCCCGACTCACGATGCCTCTGCGGCTCTGCCTCCGGCCTCCACTGGTGCGTCCACCAATCAAGAAGTCGATGCCTCCGACTCTATCTTCTTCTGTCTTGGATCCGGCCGGCAGCACTGGTAAGAACTTGCTTTCATATTCAATACTAAATTAGAATCTGCTTTAAGATTACAAAACACACCATTTTGCCCATATCTCTCATCCGTTCTTCCTACTCAGGTTTTATCGCGCCTGACCAATTTGTTTGTGTGGTTTTTCTTTGATCGGGATTCTACAAGTTGTTTATAAGCTCCCCACTTTATTTCTCTCCTAAGCCCTAAGTTCTTTCTTCTCCAAGAGATCTTTTTCATTCATCGAATGTTCTTAATCTGATTTAAATCGTTATTTCAGCATTTTTTTTTGTTTCTTAGCTTTCCGCCTTTCCCAGCATTCTTCTTTGTTTGTTCGAAGGGGCTTTCATTAATGTTTCTTGGGGGCTATATTTGGGTGGAAGAGTACTTGAATTTTGAACTTTGATCGTGGGATTGGAAATGGTGATTATTATAATTTTCATGTTTTTTGCCTTCATAGTCGGAACCTTACAAATCTCCTTTTTAACTCAATTAGCATATTAATCTCTTTAGAAGTTTGTTAAAATAAACCTGGATTTACTATTCTATGTTGGCAATTATTTGAATGTGAAAACCTTTATTTATAAATCACAACCATTGATTTTTTTTTTCTTGAGCTGACTTGCAGATTTGCATGCCTTCTGAATGGAATTTATATTTAGTTTATACTTTTTATGTTTGAAGATGATATTATTATTCAGTTTTGTCAAAATATGAAGAACATGAGAAATAAATTGTAAGTGTACTTCATGTTATATTTAGTAGTTTATTTTTTAAATAAAAATTCTTAAAATTGTCAATGCCGATCCCAAACCCGGATGAAAAAAATTGTGGGGATTTAAAAAAAGCCCCCTCTATGAAAAATTTCTGGCTCCGCCACCGAGGTCAGCATATATCATTTTCACCCCTACAAACTCGACAGAGATCTAAGGATGCATATACTCTGAATCACATTACAAAGAAGAATTTCCTTAGAAAATATATGCAATTTACGTTCATCAGTCCAAAACATTTTATTTACACATTGTATCCATTATTTAACTATTTTTATTCAATGATTGAATCTCCACAACAAACAAATTTATTTCAATAGAATAATTTTGCAATTAGAGTAAACAGTAATAGTTCATTGTTTAAAAGCATACTTTCTCGTATGTTTGACACTCTACTCTATCACTTTATTACTTAATTTGACACGTATACTTGTGTATATTAAGTGAGGTTTGTTATTTTATATCAAAAAAAACCTAAGCATTGTCTAGGGGAGATAGTCTTAAGCATTTTTATAATTCAAAATTACACTCTACCGTAGCACCCACCATCATTCATTACAAGTCGGAGTGATGCAGGCGTTAAGGTATCAAACAAAGAGTTGATTAGAAAAGAAATCTTCCCGGCACATTACTACTCACTTTTCCAGGTTACATAGAGAATCCTATTATGTTTAATGGTTGAAATTATCACGTTTAGAAAATTATAAGCTATGATGCACCGACACTTCTCCTCAAAGAGCTGTGCAGTGTCCGACACCGTGTCCGACACGACACTCGTCCGACACTCCTCCAACATGAGTCGGACACGCCGAAAATGTGTCCGATTAAAAAAATATTAAAAACTAATTGAAAACGCGTGTCCGACACGCGTATCTTAAATATTTTATAATTTTTTTAAAAAATATAATTTCTTATGTTTGACAAGATTTAAACTAAATTTCTTATTTCCTATCCACAACACCAAATTAACGTCTGCATTTAATACCCATTCATCGAATATTCTAGTTTTCATTTCTCTTTGACAATGAAGGTATTTTCATCTCCTCTCTTTTTGTACAATTACAAATCTTTCTCTTGTTGAACCAGAGTTGAAAGCAGTGATATTCAATGATGATGATATTGAAGGACAAAAACAAACCTCTAAAGCTAATCCTAGTAGTTGAAGCTTGAATATTATTATTCCGTTTTGTTAAAATATGAAGAACATGAGAAATAAATTATAAGTGTACTTTATATTATATATAGTAGTTTATTTTTTAAATAAAAATTTTTAAAATTGTCAATGCCGGTCCCAAGCCCAGATGAAAAAAAATTAAGGGGATTTAAAAAAAGACCCCCTCTATGAAAAATTTCTGACTCCGCCACTGAGATCATCATATATCATTTTCCCCCCTACAAACTCAACAGAGATCTAAGGATACATATACTCTGAATCACATTACAAATAAGAATTTCATTAGAAAATATATGCAATTTACATTCATCAGTCCTAAACATTTTATTTACACATTGTATCCATTATTTAACTGTTTTTATTAAATGATTGAATCTCCACAACAAACAATTTTATTTCAGTAGAATAATTTTGCAATTAGAGCAAACAATAATAGTTCATTGTTTAAAAGCATACTTCCTCGTAAGTTCGACACTCTACTCTAACTTTATTACTTGATTCGACACGTATACTTGTGTATATTAAGTGAGGTTTGTTATTTTATATCAAAAAAAACCTAAGCATTGTCTAGGGGAGATAGTCTTAAGCATTTTTATAATTCAAAATTACACTCTACCGTAGCACCCACCATCATTCATTACAAGTCGGAGTGATGCCGGCGTTCACGTATCAAACAAAGAGTTGAATAGAAAAGAAATCTTCACAGCACATTACTACTCACTTTTCCGGGTTATATAGAGAATCCTATTACGTTTAATGGTTGAAAATATCACGTTTAGAACATTATAAGTGGTCTGACCACCATCTGACAAAACCCTGTTCCAGTGCTGCCTTAATTGCACTAAGGGGAAAATAAATGAAAAACTATGTTAGGCATGTGGATTAACTTCCCTCAAGAGGTGCAACATTTACTTCAAAATGTATAAAGATAAGCTAAGGAATAAGTATGAACCCGCAACAAAAAGAAAGCCAAAAGAAAAGAAGGCATGTAATTAGACAATAAAATCACACATCACCTTTTAGAATAGGCTCAAGAACAATTTTCTACCGTAAATGTGAGCATAAAGCATATATTCAGAGAATCAAAGTACAAGAAACTTGCCTCTTGTTTAAAGTTGAAAAGAGGAGGGAACGGCCTGCCATTTGGTAACCGGGCATTGGGTTCCCGTAGCTCATCAAAGAAGGAATGGGCACATGCTTCAAGCTGGAAATAGACACAGGACATTAATGACTAAGAAAAGAAAATTCCCATAACATACATTTTAAAAGCTTTAAAACTTAGAGAATAAGCTTAAAATGAATGAGGAAACAAAATGAATGAAGGTAACAAATATAAAACGTCCCATCTCAGAAGTTAAAAATAATGCAAGGGATGAAAAGCCCAAATCCAAAATATCAAAAGCTTCTATATGGTGAAAGTTGGGGAAAAAAATTTCCACAAGGTCAAGATCAACTATAACTTCAACCATTACTTGCAAGCTATAGTTTCAATTTAACATTGGGCCTAACAAACAAATTCGAAAAGTAAATCTTAGAAATATGTCTACAGATTTACATGATTTAGCCATTTTACATTTAGTTTAGCAAACTCATAAACATAATGGCTAAAATTTATCAATACAATAAATTGAATAGTTTTTATAAAAATATATCTAAGATCATCAGCATATTGACTAAATAAGCAATAACAAAAGAATACATAAAATACAAAAATAAAATAAAAATAAGACAGATAAGAACAGAAGTATTTCAAATGATAAATGCCAAAATAAAAGAACAGCAGGTCAATTGTGTGGTGTATCATGATTAGAATCACCATCGTTGTCGTAGTGTTGAGCCTCGAGTCTAAACTTGATCTATCTAGGGAATTTTTATTGCCTCAGGTTACCTGACGTAGAGATACATCAGGTAGCCTATAATATATCGCCACGTGCTCTTACTCTTTACCGCGCGGCCCGACGACCCAACCCGGAACGAATCCGGGATTACTATGTTCGCGTATTGCTCGGTATTGCTAGGTATTACTCGGTATTTTCTCGGTATTGCTAGGTATTACTCGGTATTTGCTCGGTATTGAACCAGATCGCGGAGAAGCTGCGTAGTCTCAAGGCAACTTTTTTGCGCGGCTGTTTTTCAGCTCTCACTAGACTCTCATGGCGGTCTCCAATGCGAGACTTCTCCGTCGCATATTAAAAGGTTTCACTGGGGCTTCCAGGTTCTATCAAAATCACTCCCTTTGCTGTCCGCCTGAACGCCGACCATTTAAGGTCTTCCTGTCCTTCGGAGATCGCACTTCGTGCTCGTACGAATTCTCTCCAAACGGAAGCCTCTTCTCGGTCATCCCCTCCACCATCGTAGGTTTCCGATGGTTTTCGACTTTGTCAGAGCCTCTCACAGGAGAAGACGCTTTCGAGAGGATTTACGTTCTGGATGCCAAAGTGGACGCACCCGTCGCCCATGCCTCTGCGGCGGATGTAAATGGAGATTGCGATCTACCTTTGCCGAAGGCGAAGGCGAAGGCGAGTAGTACCTACGATGGCCAGTAGTACCGAGCAAATACCGAGCAAATACCGAGTAGTACCTAGCAATACCGAGCAAATACCGAGTAGTACCTAGCAATACCGAGCAAATATCGAGCAAATATCGTTCCGGGTTGGGTCGTTGGGCCGCGCGGTAAAGAGTAAGAGCACGTGGCGATATATTATAGGCTACCTGATGTATCTCTACGTCAGGTAACTTGAGGCAATAAAAATTCCTATCTAGGACCCTCTTTATGCATCAATTATTTACATCATGGAGGGGATTTATGCTTATTTTCAGTTGTTGAATCAAAAAAAGTCTATATGGATCATTTGTGTCATGGGTCTTATTGTCATTTGTAATAAATTCATCAGTAAGTTGTGTGTCAATTCCCTCCTCCCTTTTCCCACTTTTTCTAAGCTTGGTCGTCCACCGTCTCCCCTCCTTAGGAAAATTTCATACATTTATGGTTTATTACTTTCGCCACCATCTCTTTGGCTCCATCTTTTTAACTAAACCATAATTTTTCTCCATTTTTTCTTTACCTCCTTTACATAGCAGCCACCGCTTCCTCTCCCTCGCATTTGATTTGTGTTGGTTGGTATTCCCTTTCTTAAACTAATAAGTAGGTGTCTGTTCTGTACCTTTGGATCAGGTTTTGAATGAAAGAAAAATATTGGTGTTCCACTTGTGCTTGTGTTTGTCTTAATTTATAAAGAGGACTAAGTAAAAGCTCAAAATAATATCCCGACTATCAATAAATGTCCAATTTAGTCCCAAAGTTTCGCATTACCCCATTTTAGCCCCATGACCATTGAAAATTGAGCCAATTTAGTCCTGAGCCCAAAGGAATTAAAGTTAACTCCAAAAGTTAAATAGGAGGGGTATTTTAGGTATTTTAGGTGGATGTTGAGATACAATTGCTTACTTGGCCCTATTTTATCAACACCAGAAGAGTATATTCGGTTAATGGGGCTAGTCTCTCAATTACAAGTAATTAAATATACTTTATATCTTATTCATTTTCAACTTTCTTACTTGCATTCTATCTCTTTAGACACTCCTCATATTCATAATACTCATCCTCATCATTAGGCATACCCAACTACTTATGATCTGCTTTCATTACACAATACATAACTTAGGATGTATGAGATTCAATGAAGAACATACGTAGAAAATTGAGGTCAAGAGAAACAACAAACCTAGCTCCATTTGTGGCCTGTCTCACTCGCGTCGAAGCATGCCGCCTGCATCTCGCCCAGCCTGCTCGCTTGTGTAGCCAACCTCAGTTGCGTCAGTTACATCGCTCACGTCATCTCCCTCACAAAAAGGTCTCCAGGTGTCTAACATAATGCATGCATGGCGTATAACGAGAAGCAAAGCAAATAGCACGAAGTAGGGCGTATAGCGGGAAGCATCAAGTATGTGTTTTACTTAAATGCCCCCAAAGAAACAAACCTCTCCGGTTCTCTCCGTTAATTTAAACGGTCAAAAATCAAATCGGCTCAATTTCTAATAGTCAAGAGACAAAAAAAGAATATTGCAAAACTTTGAAACTAAATTGAACATTTATTGATAGCTGACAGCAGGGAGAGAGCTAGAAATTTTCATCAATGTAGGCACAAATTGATCAATTTTAATATACTCCTATCGTTGTCGTAGTGTTGAGCCTCAAGTCTAAACTTGATCTATTTATGACCCTCTATATGCATGAATTATTTACATGATGGAGGAGATTTATGCTTATTTTCAGTTGTTGAATCAAAATAAGTCTTATGGATCATTTGTGTCAAGGGCATTATTGTCATTTGCTTAAATGCCCCCAAGAAACAAATCTCTCCGGGTCTCCGTTAATTTAAACGGTCAAGAATCAAATCGGCTCAATTTCTAATAGTCAAGGGACAAAAATAGGGAATTGCAAAACTTTGAAACTAAATTGAACATTTATTGATAGCTAACATCAGAGGGAGAGCCAAAAAATTTCATCAGTGGAGGCACAAATTGATCAATTTCAATATACTCCTAATTTTTTGTAGCTTTTTTATCTTTCTATATAACAGTCTATAGTAAAATAATGCTTTTATCTTTTAAGAATCTTAATATTTGTTTTTAATAAAATTTAAAATTCTATAATTTAGTTGTTACACATAAATTATAATTATCTTATTTCATTTTAAATATTTAGCTGCTAATTTTATGAAATATAAAATTTCTAATATATGTATATTTTTTCTTTATCTATGTATACGTATTAATTTTTAATGATAAAAAATTAAGATTTTTCTAACTCAACATATTTTAAAAAAAATTATTGATTGCTAATTTATATCATATATAAAAAATTTGCACTATAATTTCTCATTTATTTTTGTTGGATTTAATGATAGTTTAATTAAAAAAAAAGAAAGCAACACAGCATCCATTTGATAATATTAACAAAACGCTTTAAAACTTTTCGAAAGATAATATATGTATTTAATATTTATGCCAACTATTCATTTGCGTATCCTATTTTTATGGCAGCAACAAGTTCATTTTAACATGTCTTGTCCATTTTAAATATGAAGGGCATTCTAGTCATTTAACTTCTTCAACCCTTCTCTTCCCGATCCGTGTAAAGCTAATGTAAAGAAGAGAGAGAGAGAGAGAGAGAGAGAGAGAGAGAGAGAGAGAGCAAGCGTGTGACAAGTGGAGGATGGTGGATTGCCGCAGAAGATAATAATGGAGAAGATGGATAGTAAAAAAGAAGGAAATGAGAGTGGACAATGGAGAGTGGAGAGTGGAGAGTGGAGAATGGGAAGAGACAGGACTTGGGCAACCGGGCGGTTTATCTACAAGTATGTATCACATTTTTTTATGCAAATAAAAATACCATAATTTAACATGAACTAAAAAAAAATTCAGTCCAGTGGTGGCACATGCCACCAGAGCCCCCATTGTAGCTCCGCCGCTGGCTGACAGACTATTTTGAACTTTTACTCAAGAGGACTTGTGCCTTGAGGATCAAAATCATGAAAGATTTTTATGAAGATGATTCTTCTTGTTGAAATTTACTTGCTTCTCAACCCTCTGTCTCCCTTTTTTGTTATCGTTGTCTTAAAAAATAGTGCTAGTTCTCTGAGCCTAGGTGGCGGTTAAATTGTTCACATATTCTGAATCTAATGTCTTCTTTGCATGTTAGTAATTATCTTTGGAATTTCAAATGTTCTTAAATCTTGCTGTGATATGTAATGAACGAACTTTAAAGCATGTCTTCTCTCTAAACCATTCTGAAGTTCCTTAGTGTTTTGTCATACGCTAAGAAACTCATAATTTTTTTGCAACTCTCTTTGAATAAATTGTGAAAAACTTCTTCATGCATAGTTGGTAGGATAGTTTAGCTTCCTTCATCCTGTATCATTAATAAGGCATGGAAAACATTAAATATAAGCGGCACGTGAACATCTGAAGGACTTGAAGACCAGAAACAAACAAACAAAAACTAGCAGCATTTAACCCGGCATGAAATAATTAATTCTGCTGAACTCAACTAAAATTAGCTACTAATGAATTAACAACATGAGCAGGCAATGCATAAAGAGTGAAAAGTAAATAAATATAAGATAATTAGATTTCTGGTCCGGGAAAATAACCATAAATATTAGCTGGTATGTCTGCCTCCATTTATTGGAAAATTATTCAAGTCATAAAAACAAATTCCTATTCTTCAAAAAATAAAAATAAAAAAACAAATTTCTAGTTATATGTTATAATTAAAAATGAATGATAGTTTAGGTTACTCACAGCAGTGCACCGAAGACTTGGAGAGTACTGAAGAAGCCTTGATGCCAGATCTATAGCTTCGGGAGGCATTCGCTTATGGAAAACCTAAAAATATTTCTGAAATAAGATTTTGCTAATACAAAAAGAATTTAGAATCATGGATATGTTTATCAGGAAACTCCTATGAAAAAACAAAATCCACAAAAATGAATAAAGTTCTGTTGACCCTCATACTAGTGTCGGGGTCGAGTCGATCGCGCAAGGTGGGTTTTAAAAGAGAAAGAGCTCGAAATTGCGCAAAAACTCACCCGACGCGTGTCGACCGAAAACCCAAAATCGCCGAAACGACCTCCGTTCGCGAAACGTACAGCGCCGATGCGTCCGGAGCAACGGAAACAGCTAAGATTGACACCCATATTGGTGGGGGTCGCCGGTCGGCGAAAAATTAAATTTTGGGCGCGCGAATCGAGACGACGACTTGTGCGAGCGACGACGCGACGACCAACTCGATGCAAGATTAAAAAAATACAATATGGCGCCGATGAACGACACTTTCTAGCCGACAGACCAACACGATCAAAATTAAATTTATTTTATTTTGATCATCAATTAAAGGTTGAAAGAGAGGAAGCCTTGTAATAAAAAATGAACTTTCTTTAATAAAAACAAAAAATAGCCTAAACACCCCTCACATAACCCTCACTCCCCATACACTAAAGTCTAGTCGACAACTTAGGTGATAGTTATAATCTACGAAGAGCTAAATTTATTTCCAGTGAGCGGGCTTAAGTCGATCATATGAAATGCCAGATAGCATTAACTGCTGCCAAGCCGACCCCTCCTCCTTTTCACGCTCAAAACTACCACGCACAGGGCCGCCCCACTCTCTTCCTCTCTTGCGATTCCAGCCTCTCGCAAACCGCCGCCTCCTCCTCTTCATTATGCTTCCAGGGTAAATTTCTTCCTCCTTTCTTCTCGCTTCTCCTTTCTCCTTCTCTCTCATGATTTCTTCAACTTCTTTCTTCTTTTTCTTGCTTTCCTTCCTCTTCTTTCTCTCTTCATTTTTCGACTCCGCTCATCTTCTCTCCAAGGTCTCACGCATTTTCTTCCGTTTTCTCTATCCCCTCTCTTCTCTCTTCGCTCTCCTCATCTCCTTCATCCGTGCCGCCAAACTTCTCTTTCTCCACCTAGCACCAAAGCCTAATCCTAATTTTGTTTTTCGTCTGCCTTCCACCTACACAAACAGCATACATTCACTTCACAAATAAGATCACTTTCCTACTCTTCTAGCATCCCCTCCTAATCAAGTAAAAAGTTTACGTCCTCATTTTCTCTCTCTAACTCTAAGATGAGAAAATTGTGTTCTCTCTTCTAAGAAATGCCATCTTCTCATTAATGGCTATTCATCTCCACCCCCAAACAATCTTCCCTCTCCACGCATATCATACCAATTCACTTCCCTAGAGGGAGAAAAACCTAATTTGCACCTCTCTCTACTACCGCAATTGAGAAGAGTGATTTTGCTGCTCTCTAAATCTCTCCTTCTCATCTTCTCTTTGCACCTCCTAATAACCATTCTAATCACAATTCCCTTTCTAAGATCCATTCTTTTCCTCCTCTCTTCTCTCTCTAGCAAAGGAGATATTTCCTATCTCCTCTTGTCTCTCTCTAAAAAATTGAGAGAAAGCAGGTATGTTTGCTCTCTGCTAACCTCACGTCTCACCAATTGTCTCTACACGCTTCTCAGACCTATTCCACTAAGAGAATATACCCAAAAATCCTTTCTTTCCCTCTTCTTTCCCTTGCTTTCGCTTCATAGAGAAGAGAACGGCTCTATGCCTTATACTTTTGCTCTCTCCTACATTGTAGTTTTTAATAAAAGATAAATAGCTGTAAATGACTAATTTTTTATAGACAATAATTAGAAATGAAAGAAAAATGAAGATTGTGCAGTCGCAGGTTCCGTAACGATCGGTCATACACAGCCGTCAGTGCGGCCTCGACATACTGCGCACGCAGTCCAAGGTAAAAATTATATTCACTTTTTGATTGCAGAAAAGACTCGTGACCGCTTTTACGGCGAGGAAACACATTAAGTACCCGTAACGCACTATGAGCAGAGCGGCAAATTCGTATGCAAAAAATCAGACCGTGACTGCTTTTCTGCAGGGGGAATGTGTATATGTAAAAAAAATTTTTAATTAAGTACCGTCACTCGCTTAGGCGGAGAAATAGTAATTATTAAAATCGCGCTCAAAAGACCCCGGACCGTTTTCTACGAGCGGGGTAAACGGCTGCCCACAGCGGTCACCACGACACCTACCGACGCCTTTCTTGAGCAGGCGAAGCCTTACACACTGAGCAGCCCCTAGTAGGGACACCCAGAGTGATGCGAATATTCTATTGAAAATATGAGGACTTAAAAAAAAGTGAACTGAATTTGAGCGGAACAACAACACCCATAGACTACCCAAGTGAATCAAACTTAGGAGATCAACAAAGAAACATAAGAACTTGAACACGGAAAATAAAAGAACATTGATGGACACCTGAACAACTATTACAACAGACGAGAACATACAGCTTGACTTACCAATAAAAGAAACTTATCAATCTTGAACATGCTGACATAAACGAACTAAAGACCGAGTTGAAGGTGATCGAAAGGAATTGAAAATCAATTTGAACAGATTTAAGTGAGACCAATCCAAGTTTGAACTGACCAACAACAAACCACAACATCAGCCTTTATCCAAGTTCGAACTTGAACACGAACGAAGAATATACTCAAAGCACCAATAAAAAATAGCTGAGAGGACCGCCAAACAACTTACTATAAGAGTTATTATACAATGAAAGCAGAGCTTATGTGAATAAGAGCCTAGACAAACAACAAGTTCGGCAATCCACGCAAGCACTGATAAAAAACCTATATGTCTAAAGAAGCTATACAAATAAGTGCTAGAAGAAATTAGAAAAGGCAAAAGACAAACACACCAAACCCTAATAGTCACAGAAGGTTAGACACGTAATGGGGCACAATCAGTCACACAGACACATAAAATTAGGAGCAAGACGAATATACGAGACCAAGTCAATAGTGATATGCACGCAAAATACGTCTCACAACGGAAATGGCGGACTGGTGTGGCAGCAACAACTATTCGTATGATGAGATATCACAGTAGATAATAAATTCAACAGCTGCAGTCATAATCAACAAGTGTAGAAAGGATACATTGATTCGCTATAAGCAAAGAGAAAAGTAATTAGAGAAGGTCGACCCTACGACTCCTCAGAAAGAAGATCAGTCGTTACACCACATATGATCAACAAACGCAAATATCAAAAGACCGACAACAAATCTAAGAACCTAGAGAAGCAGACATTATAGCACGATGACCGCCTACCAAAAGCAACAAATAAGTGCAGGGGGCGGACAAAAAAAAAAAAAACAAAAAAAAAAAAAAAAAAAAAAAAAAAGAAAAAAAAAAAAGCCCAAAAAAAAAAAAAAAAAAAAAAAAAAGGCGGCGACAAGTCTACCTGTAACAAAGCACACGAATAACCTATCAAAGCTGCTTACGTGCCACACCCAGGAATCGCACAATACTACGACTAAAGCGCGACAGAAAGACGTGTACAAGCTCTTAAGTGAAAAAAGAGTAGTATTGCATTAAATAGACAATACTTCACAACTAACATATATCAAATTCCCCCGCACTACATGACTGTATAACTATAGACACTAAAGGAGAATAATATAATCTTAACCCGCATGGGCCCCGCGAGCGGAGTTATGGGTAACAACGTGAACGCCTAGAGGATGCTGCGCGGGTCAACCAAGTGAATTCAAGTCCGAATCGATCCTTCTTAGCGGATCAATAGAAGTCGACAGGTTCAACCATCAAATAAATATGCCGGTTGGTGGAGGACGCGGATATTATATTATTAATACATTCATAAAGGCCTCAAAGCCTGATAATCACAGAATTCCACTCACCAAGGCTCAACAGCCAGAAAACCCATCCTCTGCGATAGTCGGTACAAGAGATTACAAGGTCAATCAACAAACGGAAATGGACCCAAACACCAAACGATAGCCATGATTGACCGAAAATCTCAACGGGGGTTAAATTCAAAACTTTCATGCCACCAAAAGTCAAAATCAAAAATTCAAAATTTTAAAATTGAAATAATTCGTCAAAGTCCCACTAAAGCAAAATAACAGCCTACGCTATTCCGCAACGTTTGCCCGGGTGGACAAATAAAATTTACGTTTTGCTCACAAAAGCCAAATGCCTCGTCCGAAAACTATCACTAGATTCAATCCTAAACAACTCCGCCAATTAAGGACGCGGACGTGTCCTCTGACCGATCGGGTTTTGCCGCCAATGCACTGGCAGGATAAACGGTTATGATTTGCCGGGGCCTCTGAACCGGAGTTGGTTTTTTGCGCCAAAATGGCACGCACCGAAATACGGTTATGGCCAGCACCAAATACGTTCCTTTTGGCATCAAATCTTTGAGATAATGAAGTCAATTAGGATATGATCGAGGTGGTAGCACAAAGCCCTCTGTAGCTAAGGTGGATTCAATTTGCCGCCTTAGTACAACACATTCAACCCACGTCTACAAGATCCTTGGACGAAAGCAACCCATGGCTGCCGACAAGAGACCTTCATGTCAGGTTGGGTCGACAGCCTCCGCTGACTAGCGCCAGGAATCCAAACATGCCCGGAACGACGTAACCAATAGGGATTGACCGCGTCCATCATCCCATTCCCCCACCATCCGCTTTAAGGGCGAAGTATGGTTGAAATTTCTAATTAATATCCACCATTTCAACCCAGAAATTCCAAATTTTCAAAATCCATATGCTATTGACTTCAGCTTGACTAAAATGCCAGATAACACAAATCAGAACTCAGATCATAAAGTCCTCACAAAATGAGGGCGAAATCTCTGGGTAGTGTCTTATCTACAAACCCATCTGCCTTCCAAAATTTACCTCGGAACTTAGTTCGTTAAAACTCCCTCGCCGAATAAGAAAAGCGAGTGGAGGCCGAGGCCGAATTTTCGGAGCCCACAAGTTCCATGTTTGTGAAACTCATTGCCTTTGCCTATGGTATTATCACCAATGATCTTATCCCTCCCATTCCAACGCGAATTGGCTAGATGAATCCTCCATCATTAAGGTAATATGACTTTTTGTATTGTTCTAAATTAGATTGCAGTTGGTGTTAGGATAAGTTGAAGCCTAGAGTCCTCGCTTAAAATTCAGGTAAACCACTTGCAGCAAGAAATAAATTTCTATCATGGCATCTGCAAATTGTTAGTGGAAAACAACAAAACGTGGTTCTAATCTGTTGCTGTTCCTAGTTCCCAAAGCATTAGTCCATCAGGATTATATTAGCTTCTTGCTTAGAAAAAGTTATATTGAAAGCTATCATTGTTTCTTCGTAACAAAAGAGCATAAAATCAGTGGAGGTTATGGTCGTTGATGGAAATAACCAGACTGAATTACCAAAGAATAAAATACGTGAGTCCTTGCCTTATGCCATGGATGAGCTTTTATTTGAGGAAATCGGAATTCGGTGTAGCTGGGATTCATGCAACGAATTTCTTCTCGAGTAGGGGTGCCAAGAACCTAAAAAGAGATAGCTACATCTGAGATCAACAACCAATCAAATATAGGAAAAAAATGAATCTAACAACAAACCTTTATTATCTCAACCAGTTGATCCACAGCACTTTCACCAGGAAACAGTGGCTGAAGACCAAAAGAAAGCATTAAAAATGGAAGGAAGTTTAATCAGGATACCAAACTTAAACAAAAAAATACTTTAAACAAAATATTACACGATTCTACAATTTAGTGAATACCTGACCAAGTAACAACTCAGCAAGAACACATCCTGCTGACCATATATCAATTGATGTAGCGTACTCTGTCGCACCAAATATGAGCTCAGGAGCTCGGTAATATCTAGAGCAGATGTAAGATATGTTTGCTTCTCCCTTTACCTGAGAGATCAATCGAAACATGAGGAAGAGAAACTCCAAAAATAAAGTTGACCATTGGTTAAAAATTAACCAAATATTTATTATCAATGGAAAATAATAAGAAGATTGTCTGACAAGTGAAAAATTTTTGCTACACAGAGATTGATCTGGCAAGTAACAAATTTGAAGGAACTCGAACAAGGAATAAGTTTTCTTACAACAACAACAACAAGTCTTTATCCCACTGTAGGGTCGACTAAATGAATCTTTTTTCTCTAATGTGTCCTATTAAGAGTCAAATTTTCATCTATATCTAATAAAGAAAGGTCATTTCTAATATTTTCTAACCAAGTTTTTTTAGGTCTATCTCTACCTTTGTTAACATAAGTCAAATCTAAAACATCTACTTTCCTAACCAAGTCAACCGAAGGCCGCCCAAACCATCTAAGGCAACTCTCTCTAATCTTATATTCCACTAAAGCTACTCCAACCTTTTCACATGTATGCTCATTTCGTATCATGTCTCTAAGAGTAAAGCCACTCATCCACCTGAGCATCCTCTTCTCTACAACACTTAACTTAATATTATGCTTTTCTTTTAATGGCCAACCTTTTGCACCATAAAACATTGCAGGTCTCACTACCATCTTATTGAATTTTCTCTTAAGTTTGAGGAAATTTTCTATCACACAACAAGCACGATGCATTCCTCCACTTCAACCATCCTACTTGAATTCTACTAAAAATATCCCCATCTATTTCACCATCACTCTGAACAATAAACTCCTACTAATGACTTGATCGCCCAAAGTCACAATCCCCCCACTAGATCTATTATTACTAAAATTACACTCAATACTCAAATCATCTAAGGGAACTCTTTCTAATCTTATCTTCAATTGGAGCTACTCCAACCTTTTCACATATATGCTTCTTTTGTATCCTGTTTCTAAGAGTAAATTCACTCATCCACATGAGCATCCTCATCTCTGAAACACTTAGCATTATGCTTATCTTTTAATGGCAAACATTCTGCACTATAAAGCATCATGTCCTTAAGTTTAAAGGGACATTTTCTATCACACAACAAGCCCGATGCATTCATCCACTTCAACCATCCAACTTGAATTCTACTAATAATATCATCATCAATTTCACCATCACTCTGAACCATAGACCCAAGATATCTAAAACATATACTCTTATTAATGACTTGATCGCCCAAAGTCACAATCACTCCACTAGATCTATTACCACTAGAATTACACTCCAAATATTTGGTTTTAGATCTACTCAAACGAAAAACTTTAAATTCAAAGGTTGACATCCATAATTCAAGTATACTTTCAACTCCCTCTCTAGCCTAATCAACAAGAAAAATATCATCAACACAAATCATACACCAGGGTATAAGCCCTTGCAAATGTCTAGTGAGAACATCCATGACTAAAGCAAAAAAGATATGGGCTTAAGGCGGATCCTTAATGCAATACAATTGAAATAGGAAAATGCTTGGTCAAACCACCTTGTGTTTGAACACAAGTGACAGCTCCTGCATACATATCCTTTTAATAACTTGATATAAGTATTATTAACCTTTTTTTTAACTCTCCATAGCACTTTTCTTGTAAATTTATCATATAATTTCTCTAAATCAATAAATATCATATGTAGATCCTCTTTATTCTCTCTATACTTCTCCATCAAGCCTCTCAATAAATGTATAGCTTCCATAGTAGACGTACCCGGCTTGAATCCAAATTGATTTTGAGAAACATTAGTGCCACGTCGTAACCTATGCTCCATAACTCTCTGCCATAGTTTTGAAGTATGAAACATTAACTTAATTCATCTATAATTTGCAAAATCTTGTGCATCACTTTTATTCTTAAAAATGGAAATCAACACGGTCATCCTTTACTCATCTGACATCTTTTTAGTCCTTAAAATAATATTTAAAAATTTCATAAGTAAAAAGAATTATACATCTCCTAAGCATATCCACACCTCTATTAAAATATCATCAAATCCAACAGCTTTTCGATGGTATAACATATTATATTGAAGGATTCATATCATGATTATTCGACAACTTTTATGATGGTTGTCGACTACCTAACACAACTCTCAACTTTACTTATATATAATATAAAGAAAATTATATAGAGTAAAAAAATTATTCAAATGATTTTTTATTGATCTTAAGAAGGCATATGATCGAGTATGACAAGAATTAATTTAGCGTGTGCTTTAAAGATAGAAATGCTTGCATCAAATATATAATGTTATTAATGATGTGTCAAAATATTTAATATCAAAGTTGAGTGCGACAAAAATAAGGATGTAAAAATAGTTTTGTGGCAAAACTAAAATGGATAAATTAAGGAACAATTATATTAAAGGAAAGTTTTGAGTGACATGTATTGAAGATAAAGTGGCAAAACATAGATTTATATGTTTGTCATGTAACATGAATAGTTAAAAATGCTCATTAAACGAGTTGATGAAATTAATGTCAAGGAATTTGAAAGTTGTAGACCTAAAATTATATGAATAAAAGTTATTAAAAATTATTTATGAACAATACGTTTAAGACCTCAAACAGCACTCAACAAGAGCAAAAAATGAGGATCCATAACACTGATCCCAAATAGTTTGGATAAACATGTTCTTTATTCTAACAATCCATTTTTTAACATTGTACTTGCTTCAGAAGAGGTTTCACATACTCTTATTTCATCATTAAATTGTATATATATAAGATCCATCACCTTGAATATTTTTCAGAAGCATCAATAAAGCCAATAAAAAAAGAAAGAATAATGCCACGCCTTAACGTAAGCTCATACTAATTAGAAATATTTTGATCACTCCACAAGAGTACTAATATTAGTCAAAAATGTATCACATGTATCCTTGATAATTTCATCATATCTTAAATGCACACTATTTTTCTTAATGTAAACTAAATCAATTCTATTAGTACTCAATTATATGCCTTCAGAAGCTTAATTAGAAAATGTGAAAATTCTTTACTTTTTCATTTTTGGCTTCGCAAAAAAAAATCACCTTCATAATAGATTTTTAGCATAAAAAAATTTATTCTCTAATACTAACATAATAATCATAAGCCTGTGTTTTATTTTCCCATAACTTCACTACAAAACACATAAGTTTATTCCCCCACAATACTAGAACTCTAGAAAGCTCATTTATTCTTAAATAGAAGTGCTAAAATGTTATTATACAATTATTTGGCACCGTCACCATATTTAAGATTTCATTAAAAAATTTGCTAACAAATTTACTCTAAGATGTACCATGACTCTCCAAAAATTAATAAGTAATCTCATTTAGGCATAAAGCTTTTCCTATAAGCACCTTTTTAGAGCTAACCTAATTCATTTTCTTGTACTATTCTATAGCATATTTCATAATTATATTCATTATACTCTCTTAAAAGTCTTCCTTAAAATTCTCATTTAAGTTGAACAAATTTTTTTAATTTTTTCTTCAGGTTTTCATCATTTCTATAATGGTATGTTTGGGACAACTACAATTTTTGATAAAAATGGTTACAAAACTATTTTGGAGAAAGCAACTATTTTAATGTTACTATAGAAAACTTCCTAATATATAAATTTCTTGAAAGGAGCAAAAAATAAGTAGCCAAACAAAAACTACAGCTGCAATTTGAAAAGCAAAGTAATGAGAAAGTTGTACTAAACGAAACCCGAGTCCCCAAGATCATTTTACCTTCACTTTCAAATCACTAACTTGACCAACTAGATTTCAACTCTTACATTAGCTTTCTCATATATCTTTCTTTCACCTTCCTTAATACCTATATAACATAAATCATAAAAAATAAATATTTTTCTATACTTATTGCCATTTTCACTGAAATTAAAGCTTTCTTAAAAGACTTGGGGTTCTTTGGTTTACTGAAAAAGAAATGCAAAGTAAAAGGAATCCAAGGGTTCTAAATTTTTCTTGTTTGCTTGAATGAAAAAAAATGCAAAGTAATTTGATGGTAAATTTAAAATTCATCATTTAGTTCACTTTTATTGTATTTGCAATTCATCCGATTTAAGCGAATATCAAATACATTGTGTGGTACAAGCTTTTCCCCGTTTCTCGCAAACACCAAGAGCTAGAGGTGTCAAAATGGATCAACGGGTTGGGTTCAGGTCCGACTCAAAATTGACCTGACCCGAATCCGGTCAAACCGAACCGAATCCGTTTTAAAAAAAGGGTAAAAAATGCAGACCTGAAACCAACCCAAATCTGGTCCTCTAGCAACCCGAATGACCTAATCTCGACATGATAACCAATTTTGATTTTTAAAAAATTATAACTTATTAACAAAAGATTTTAAATTAATTAATAAAAAATAAGGCAACCATACCAATAAATAAAAAAAAATAAGAAAAAATAATTTAAACGAGTCATTTCAGGTTGGTGGGTAAACCTGAATCTCACCCATTTAATAAATGGATCAAATTCTGAACTTAAACTCAATCCAATTATTAAACGAGTTAACTCGAACACGGATTTTTAGGGTTGGGTCATTTTTTGACACCCCTATCAAAAGCCACCAACTACGGTCCCCTGACCTTCGATTGCACCCCCACCCACCCCCCCAATTGTCACCGCCTACCACCTTTTTCACTTGCCACCTTCTGATATCGCCCACCAAACTACAACCACGTATGGCCACCGCACCAGGCCACCGCACCAGTTTCGTTGTCAACTACCACACTACCACCACCACTTGCTACCTATCATCGATTGCCCATTTGCTAGTCGCCATCACCAATGCCTTAACATTAATTTAATTTTACTTCAAACACAATACTTAAGCTCAAATATAAAATATTTCAAATATAATGAGTTTATTTTGCACAACATTTTGAATGTGCAAAACTCTAAAAAATTTAAACTAAATGGCCTCTTATTTATATCAAATTATAAAAGCAAATATATTTGCCCTAATAAAACTCTGTGCCTCTTTATACGACAAGTAAATCTCCTTATCAATGATCTATTTCTAAATTATCCTTGCACTTTTAAAACCTTCTGAATGTAACTAGCCATATTATCCATCATTAATTTTAAATCGACTAAAATTTTACCTCTTAAAAATATATCTCAAAAGATAAAGACTTCTCACCTTAAGTTTCATCATCATGCCTAATGCAATCAATTTGAATGTGAATTACATTTATGTACTACTCATTCCACCACTAGATTAAAACAATTCATAGGCGAGTTACAATTACTATTTACAAAGTTCATTTGAAAAATAGAAGAAGTAACGGTTTCTCGTATCTTCTAGAGCTTTATAAATCTGAATTTTGTCCAAATACAGTCTATACCACACAAATATAGTTGAAAAATACAGCCATTAGCGATAAATGTGGAAATGGGCATGATTTAGAACAAATAACATACCAAGACCTTAGCGCTCCCAAAATCACAAAGTTTGACTTGGTGAGTAAGAGGATCAACCTGCAAAATATACGAATTAGTTCAAAAAATCAAGAAATAACAAGTAGAATTCATATAATAATCTAATGTCATGCAAGCATACCAGGAGGTTCTGGGGCTTGACATCTCTATGACAAACTCCTGGAACAGCATGAATGTATGCTAGCCCCCAGAATATCTGCACGACAAATCCTCTTAGAGAGGTGAGTTTAAGGAACCAAGAATAGCTAAAAGTGAGGTCTATGTGAGCACAATCGTGAAACACGAGAAACATTGCATACCTGATACATATAAAGCTTCACATAGATAATTGGCATTCGTTGGTTCGCATTACTGTAGTGCCTCAGAACACGGTAGAGTGATTCAGGAATGTACTCCATAACCAGGTTAAGAAAAAGTTCATCTCTGTTAGTAGTGGAAAAGAAGCAATGCTTCAGAGATACCACATTTGGGTGGTCCATGGACCGCATCAGTTGCAGTTCACGATTCTTATATCTTCTGTCCTGCAAAACCTTCTTTATAGCAACAGTCACCCCTGTCTCCAAACATTTGGCCTGTTAAGCCAGTGTAAGATCTCAAATAAAATTAAGCTTATGTAAAATATCTCAGAAGGGTTAGGACCAGACCTGAAAGACAATTCCAAAAGATCCACTTCCAACAACACGTTCTGCCATGTAACTGACAGTCTGCCAGGATATTAAGTGTCTAATAAGACTAGGGTGTCCAAATTTTTGGCAAATCACTTGCACCAGAAAATTTGCTTTACCTGTTTGGCTTCACCATTTTTCCCTCCAATCGTGGTTGAGATGATGTGTCCAGTGACCGGGCCATTCCCTTCCACAACTGAGGCTTCCTGAAAAGTGTTTCCAAAACAAAAAAAACAGTTGAACGGCAGCAGGAAGTACAAGTTTGGAAGAAAAAAAAAAGGAAAAGAAAAATAGAAGAAAGAAGCATGGAAACAATGCTCCGAGAAACTGTAAGATCCAACACATAACCTAACTAGAAAAAAACAAAGTTAGCTGTAGAACGTACAAAGGAAAAAAATTGATATATTTAAGGTGCTAAGCATCCACATGTCTAGACAACTTCAACAAGGCTTTCTCAGATGGTTTGCTCATTTCTAAGTTCAAAGAAGACCCCCATCCCCCACCACAAGGAAACAATGAAGACAAAGAAGCCAGTAGGAAATGGAAGCTAGATGTGACCCAAACCCCTAGAATGTGATACGAAACTATAGAAGCAGGACAGGTTGAATTGCAATGAACAGCAATAAGAAAGACAGCTAGAAGACCTAGCTAACAAACCATGCATAGAGAGACGAAAAACACTATGGCTACAGGAATTTCATATGGAAGATAGCTAAGGTGAAGGTGATTCTTGGATAATAAAATCATATCCCATAATATCTGATCTCTGCTGCAGCAACTTGGACAGGAATCTTAATTTTGTTTGTTGAGGTTGTTTAGGTTGTTAGGAAAGTTGGGACTGTCATCATCCTATTGTATTGATGGGGATTGTAATCATCAGTGGAGATTGGATACAAGTGGCTGAAGGCCCTCTTATACAGGTATTCAATGAAAAATCCAAGAATAATTCTCTATTCTTCTTCTTACAATATTTTCTTCGATGTTTCTTTTATGAAATTTTTTTCTAATCTTCTTATATGCACTTTGTCTATATATTCTCTCACATTCGGAGTTGTCAGTAGGCTGCAAATCACTGATTATCATATCAACTTGGTGCTCTCGTTGATTCAATCTTTCACCAATTTCCCATCAATGACCGACAAAACCCATTTTGCTATTAATGTAAATGACCTTCTAACTACAGACTAAGACAAGCTAGTAGAAATTACAGACATTCTTCATGAAGTTCAGCTTCGATTAACCCTTTAGAAAGTTAAACACGAGCAGTCCAACAAACCTTGGCCTGCTGCCGACTTGAGGAAAGAAAAATTACTGAAATTTTCAGATTTCCGCCTCCAACAGTCCCAAGACAATGCTCTGATACCACTTTGATAGGAAATACTTGAGTTCGCAAGTAACCCTAAGGTAACACTTGAGTTCGCAAGCAACCCTAGTCAAAATCAGCCCAAAACAGTGAGCAAAACTGCTGTCCCAGCAGTTTTAGAGCAGCTCCGCAGCAGGAAATGCACCCAAACAGAGAAAAATAAGGAAAAGAAACAAGGTTTCCACTAGTAGATGCAAGAAAACAAAGAAAGATACAACGTCCTTCGATTCGAGAGGAAGAACAACTCTCCACAAGTCTCTAGCAAACCCTAGAGCCCAAGCACACAATGAGATCTCAAACTTTTTATTCAAATTCAAGATGAGGACCTAATTCCCCCCTTTCCCCCTCTTTAACTCTCATCCCCATACAAAATCCCTAAACAGCCCTTCTATTCAAATTCCCCCCTTTCCATTCAAATTTTCCCTCCAACCCTTGAATTAACTCCATGTGGGGCCCGCCTAGAGTAAGTAAGGACCGGAGGGGCCCGCCTAACAGATAGTTGTAGAACGTACAAAGGAAAAAAAATTGATATATTTAAGGTGCTAAGCATCCACATGTCTAGACAACTTCAACAAGGCTTTCTCAGATGGTTTACTCATTTCTAAGTTCAAAGAAGACCCCCATCCCCCACCACAAGGAAACAATAAAGACAAAGAAGCCAGTAGGAAATGGAAGCTAGATGTGACCCAAACCCCTAGAATGTGATACGAACCTATAGAAGCAGGACAGGTTGAATTGCAATGAACAGCAATAAGCAAGACAGCTAGAAGACCTAGCTAACAAACCATGCATAGAGAGACGAAAAATACTATGGCTACAGGAATTTCATATGGAAGATGGCTAAGGTGAAGGTGATTCTTGGATAATAAAATCATATCCCATAATTTCTGATCTTTGCTGCAGCAACTTGGACAGGAATCTTAATTTTGTTTGTTGAGGTTGTTTAGGTTGTTAGGAAAGTTGGGACACTTGTCATCATCCTATTGTATTGATGGGGATTGTAATCATCAGTGGAGATTGGATACAAGTGGCTAAAGGCCCTCTAATACAGGTATTCAATGAAAAATCCAAGACTAATTCTCTATTCTTCTTCTTACCACATTTTCTTCGATGTTTCCTTTATGAAATTTTTTTCTAATCTTCTTATATGCACTTTGACTATATATTCTCTCACATTCGGACTTGTCAGTAGGCTGCAAATCACTGATTACCATATCAACTTGGTGCTCTCGTTGATTCAATCTTTCACCAATTTCCCATCAATGACCGACAAAACCCATTTTGCTATTAATGTAAATGACCTTCTAACTACAGCCTAAGACAAGCTAGTAGAAATTACAGACATTCTTCATGAAGTTCAGCTTCGATTAACCCTTTAGAAAGTTAAACAAGAGCAATCCAACAAACCTTGGCCTGCTGCCGATAATTCCTCTGCACCTCAATCCAACATGTTGGACTTCATGAGCAATGCTCCTTTCAAAACAATGAGAATAGCCATTCCCCATTTCATCAAAGGTAGCCTGGAGACTTGAATACAAAAAATTGAACAATGTTAATGACTTCCACAAGCTGTTCAACGAACATACACTTACCATAACATCGTTCCACATTCAGTTGAAAAATGGTACCTATGGCTACAAAAACTAAACATCATTCATCATGGGCAGATTTCCTGGTAGTGTTGCACGCTCGTTATGGGCCATTCTAATATTGCAATGTACAAGGTGAGCTTGCCAAGCTTCTCCACACATCTACAATAGCTGAATAATAGCTCTAATTCAAAAAATTATACAATCAAGTCACCGGCATTGACAATGTTCTTCTCAAGTTGTAACAAATTTAGTCTCAAATTGAATTTCATAAAGAAGTATGAATACAACATGGTTTAAAAAGGCATTCAATGTACATGCCTCGAGATGCACCTTGTCATGAATGTCCGAAAACCGTCTTGAGGTTTACACCTATATGATCTAAACAAGGCTTGAGTTTGTCTTTGTTTGAGGCAAATTCCACAACGCTTCATGCCTCAGTATTTGAAGTGACGCCTCAAATTAATACTTAATAAAAATTAAGAAAAAAAAAAACTTTTATATATGATAAACGTTATCAAACTTGCATACCAGCATAAATTTTTAAATTAGAATTATGATAGTAGAATGAGAAAGAAAGATTGGAAAAATAGTAAGAAAGTCAAGAGTTTGTGAGTGGCAATTAGTGCAGCAGGTGAGAGCAAGGGTCGTGACTGAGGGTTGCAACCACATGTGAGCAACTAGCTGCGAGTAAGGAGATCTGTAATAATCTTTGACAACAATGTGGATCCTAATCCTCATGGCATGTTTCAATTTTATATGAGTGCTCATGCTGATTAGTTTTTCATATTTCACTTTAAATTAACATTCGCAATTAAGATTTACTTGCTTTTTCTTATTATGTGATTTTATAGTTTATGTTGATGAACTAATTTAATCTATAGATAATTTAAGACATGTTTATGAATTATATTTTTAATTTTATGAAATTTGGTTTTATTTGTACCTTACGACTTCATCTACCTAAAGACTTACGCCATGCCTCACCTCGTTAAGAGAACCTTAGTTCACAAATTCTCTTTATCAAACCTTGGTGTAAACTAACTAGAATTTTCAGATCAAGCAATAAAATAATCCAAACTAATTAAAGATAAATCTAATGAGGGTCATACATCTCCAACCACACTAGTCTCGAATCTTGCTACACTTTCTCAATTATTCCACCTCTATTTCTCAACCTATATAGAACACACCACTTCCTAAACTACCAACACCCATTAAAAAGCTCACCTCAAAAAATGATTTTGTTACAATTGTGACAAACCTTTTATCAAGGGTATCAAAATTGATTTTCAGGTCGGGTTCAGGCCCAACCCGAAATTGACCTGGTTTCAACTCACCTGACCCGAACCCGACTCGATTAGGTAAACAAGTCATAAGCCTAGACCTGAACCAAACCCAACTCCAAACCGACCTAGAACAACCAGACCAGCTGACCTGGTTGAGTGTGATGGGCGACCGAGCGCGTGCAGCTGAGCGGGCAAGCCCAAGTAGGCAACTAGGCAAGTGGGCTAGCAGGAAACTAGGCAAGAGAGTGAGCACGAGCACGATGGATGAGTTTTGGGTTTCTTTCAGGTTGACCCAAACCCGACTCATTTTTCAAACGGGTTGACATGGACCCAGAATTTTCGGGTCGGGTTTTTGGATCATGTCAAATATTGACACCCCTACCTTTTATAGGCTCTCATATTTGTAAAGGCAAGATGCTTGTCTTTCAAATAGAATCGGGCCCAATTACCCTCAACCGAGCAATTGACCTATAACCCTCCACTAAAATCTCAATTCACACCAATGCCTAGTTTCTACATAACCAACCTAGGATTAGTTTACATGCCCTTTACAAACAATTTCAATCCAATATTGACCACATCAATATTTGCATCTCAAATTCTTCAATCAAGGTACTCACAATGACTGCTCCACCCACAATTTTATTCATAGCTCTACCTGTTTGAAATTCTACATCTTCAAGCAGAGTCAAACCCATCTATTAATGTTAAAATATCTCCTTATCCTTAAGAAGGGATACTTTCCATTCAGACTTATTTGTTCTTCCAATTCAAGGACCGAACATAGTCCTTGGTGTCCATGGATTGCAACAACTAGATAATATTAAAACCAATTATAATTGGCTCAGTATGAGCTTCTTGCAATAGGGTGTTCCTATTGCATTAAATGGCACCAATCTAGCAATCATCTTACTAATTCAATTTAGCCAAATTCTCAACCAATCAAACAAAAGGATCCTTCTGCTTCATCTTTCCAAATGATGACAACCTAAGCCACCAACCTAACACACCATTGCCCACCTCCACAACTCCACCACCGACACTTTACCATTCTATGTTAGTTTCAAGAACTTTTTGTAGAACCCACCAATACCATGGGTAAGGCCCATGACCATTAATCCACTTATAACACAAAACTCACCCATCAAAGTTTGGCCCTACTGCCACCCCAATTTTAAAAATCAACAACCAAAATGCTACTTCAAGAGATGTTAGCTTTACGCATCAACCACCCTAGTACAAGTACATTCCCTTCCCATATACATATGGTTAAAAAGACAGCATATAGAATTTTTGTGTAGAATGTCAAGCTCTTAATCAAGCAACCATTCCAAAATAGTATCCAATTCCAACTACCAACGAGATGTTGGATGAGTTATATGATGCCACAATATTCGCTCCAAACTAGATATTCGATAAACCATGGGCCCACCCTAAATATTTTTGTTCTTTATTAAGATATTTATTTTAATAAAATTGTCTAACCTAAATAAAAGTTTTTGCCCAATAAAAGCATTTTTTTCATTGGTGTTCTTTATCGAAAATTAAAATAAAATTTTAATTGAGCAAGTTATTAAAACATAGTTTAATCTTATTAATTTTTTTTAAATATATAATCTTGTTTGTATATTTGACTTGCCCAAAATGGTTGAAATAGGCTTGCAAGATCCCATGTTGTTTATATTACAAACTTAGCAACAAGAGAACAAAACTTGTGCTTACGAGACAAACTAAACAATTTAATTGCTTTATGTTGTTTATAAACAAAAGTATTTTAAATTTTCAAGCAATGTCGGATTAAATGAGAGGGGTTTGCAGCTCTGTAAAGTGGGATGGAATGGAAATGGTGTTGTGAGTCTTACTATTAAGCTTTTGTGACCTCTTACGATATTATAACTTACATAATTACACTCCAACTTAAACTACTAACTGTTGAGATAGTTGCTATGCATGTTTGATATTCTTGCAACTTGTATGTTTTTGATGATTCCAAATATTATTGAGTTGATTATTATTTCTCCTAACATATTTTAGAAGAATTGTTTTTGCTCTTGTGTGTACTAATATTTCAGGGAAATCATACTCCGGATTGTTGAAGATATCAAATCAAAAATAATTTAGAGTTTATTGTAATCAAAGTCTGTATTTTTCATTTTATTGAGTCTGAGAGAGTGATTATAATTGAGTAACTCAGCACACACACCGGGGGAGAGTTTTAAAATTCATATTTTTAAACTGATCGTACTGTACGATATCACTTCGAACGAGACAATATGGTCAGTTATTTTCCCCAACGAGCATTTGAATGAACAGAAAGGGAAAATATTTTTTTTCTAAGTATAAATCGTGCATACGATATTTAATTTCGTACAGGGACGAACGCCTCTGTTTTGTCCTCAGACGAAGATCGTACGGACGATATTTAATTTTGTACAGGGACGAACGCCTCTATTTTGTCCTCAGACGAAGATCATACGGATGATATTTAATTTCGTGCAAGGACGAACGCCTCTGTTTTATCCTCGGACGAAGATCGTATGGGTGATATTTATGTTCGTACCAAGACGAACATCTTTGTTTCTATTCTGGTTCATTTCATCCTGACGTTTCGTACAGACGAACTTTAAAAGTTTTCTGTTTGTACCGAACGAACTTATTTCGTACGGGACGATGATCAAGTACGAAATGATTTCGTATCGATTCACAATGGATTCATACGCAACAGTATTTGAACTGTTCGTACGTACGAATATACGATCATATTATACGAATGTGTACGTTCAAAATTGAAAACTTCAATTTTCTGGATGATTTTTCGTATCTTTTGTATAAAAGGTCTACTAAAACTGACTTCTTAGAGTCTTGTCTACGTGATTTTTTAAGGTCAAATGAAGGAGAGAATGTGAGAGAGTGTTTGAGAGAGATTTCTTGCAAGTGGAGTGTGAAGGGTTCACAAGGTTACTCAAATGTAAGGATCTCTGAATATGATTTGTATTTTTCACTCTTCCTCTTGTCTTTCTAGATTGCTCGTGAGAAGATCTTCGGATAAGATCCTGTTATCTGCCGACACTTGCGAAGTGTGAAAGGACGAAGGTTTTCTGCCTACACTTGGAGGGTGTGAAAGGACGACGGTTCTCTGCCGACACTTAGAGAGTGTGAATAGCCGACGGTACTCTGCCTACACTTGAAGGGTGTGAAAGAACGAAGGTTCTCTGCCTACACTTGGAGGGTGTGAAAGGATGAATGTTCTCTGCCTACACTTGCAGAGTATGAACAGCCGATGATTCTCTGCCGACACTTGGAGAGTGTGAATGGGCGACTGTTCTCTGCCACACCGGGGATTGGTGGAAGAGAGTTTTGTGAAGGCTTCTCCGCCTTGCTGTGGGGGCAAAAGAAGAGTCACTTTTGTAATAGTGCAATATCTGAAGAGGGAGTCTTCATGGAGTGTATGTAGATCGTGTTTGACCGAACCACTATAAAACTGTGTCATTTTTATTTTCGCTGCTTTAATTTCTCAAGTTATCTGTTGTGATTGAAAAGTTTTATTTTAAAATTTCTTAATTAACTTGCATCAGATTTTTAATCGGTTTTCTATCTAAAAAATCCAATAAGTAATTTTTGAAATTACCAATTCACCCCCCTCTTGATT